CTGGTAGCCGGTGTGGTTGTAGCCTCAGTGGTAGTGGTGGCAGTAGTTGTGGTTGTTGTTTCAGTTGTAGGTTCAGTTGAAGTGGTATCTGTTGCTCTTGTGGTTGTAGGTTCAGTAGAAGCAGTAGTGGTGTCAGATATGGTTGTAGCCTCTGTGGTAGTGCTGACAGTAGTTGTGGTTGCTGCTTCGGTTGTAGATTCGGTTGAAGTGATAGCTATTGCTGTGGTGGTTGTAGGTTCAATAGAAGCAGTAGTGGTGTAGGATCTGGTTGTAGCCTCAGTCGTGCTAGCAGTGGTTGAGATAGTTGGTTCAGTTGAAATGGTAGCTGTTGTGGTGGCTGTTGGTACAGTAGAAGCCGTTGTGGTGGCTGTTGTAGTGATAGCCGCAGTGGTGGTGCTGGCAGGTGTAGTAGGTGGTCCTGCTGAAGTGGTGGCAGATGTCGTGGTAATAGGCTCAGCTGAAGTGGTTTCTGCTACTGGGGTGGTTGTATATTTGGTAGAAGCGGTGGTGATGGCCGTTGTAGTTGTAGCCTCAGTGGTTGTGCTGGCAGGAGTGGTAGGTGGTCCTGCTGAAGTGGTGGCTGCTGTGCTGGTTATAGCTTCAGTTGAAGTGCTTTCTGCTGCTGTGGCAGTTGTATAGTGAGCCGAAGAAGTACTGATAATGGTGGTTGTAGCTTCAGTAGCAGTGCTGGCAGTGGTTGCAATAGTTGGCTCTGTAGAAGTGGTGGCTACTGTTATGGTGGTGGGTTCAGTTGAAGTGGTAGCTGCTGTGGTGATTGAAGATTCAGTGAAAGTAGTACTGGTGGCTGTTGTGGTTGAAGCCTCCGTGGTAGTGCTGGCAGTTGTGGTAGGTAGTTCTGTTGAGGTGGTGGCTGCTGTGGTGACAGTAGGTTCAGCTGAAGTTTTGTCTGCTACTGTTGTAGTTCTGGATTCTCTAGAAGCAGTAGTGATGGTTATGGTTGTAGCCTCAGTTGCAGTGCCTGAAGTCGTTGTTGTAGTGGTTTCAGATAAAGTGTTGCCTTCTGCTGTGGTGGTTTCTGTTTGAGCCGTGGTTGCTGCACTAGTAGATTCTGTTGAAGGGTGACCAGTGGTTGTAGTGATGGTAGTTGAAGTGGGTGGTGTGGTAGAATCTGTTATGGTAGTGGGAATTATAGGCTCAGAACTAGTTTCAGTTGCAGATGAGGTTGTCTCATGGTTTGAGGGAAAGTGGATAACAATGGAGGCACTATTGTTTTTCCCATTATACACCAAAGACACTATGAGTACTCCGATTGCTGTTGTTATCACACAGGCTAAGAGACAAACCAGGAAGATTTTCCACAGAGACCAGTCACTAAAGAAATTTCGTGTCACCTGGAAAGGATGTATACAAAATTACTGAAGATAAAACCAAATGTTTCAAAAATTTAATACCATTGAAAATCCTTTTTTATATATTACCCTACTGAAAGATGGTATATACACAAAACACTACTAATAGCTGCTAATAATAAAAAATGACTCAAATTTCATATTTCGTTTAAGAAAGACTTGGTCCTTTTACTGTCTTTAATACAGGAACAAATAAGTTTCTACCAATTTCTTGTGTTCTCTTTTCATATATCTATATCTCAAACTTTTTTTAAAAAAGGTAATCAATGTCTTCTTAGAAACTTTATATTCCTGCCACTATCAAAAGTTTCTATACATGTGTGGTGACGGCTGTACACCGTGATTTGAGTGACCCAAAAGATCACCTGATTAAATCTCCTCCCCTTCTGGCTTATCAGCTATCAGAAATTTAGCTACTTTGAAGCCTTCGATTTTAAGTGCATTGATTAATGGCTTGTCAAATTTCCTAGCTAATTTTTCATACAGATTAGCATTTGGCAGGATGAAATTTAAAATCTGAAAACATTTGTTGAAATCCCACATCTGTTGCCACCAGTTATTTCCATTGGGTAAGATACTTACCCCTTTGATGGAATCCTTTCATCCATAAAAATGGATGTGATAAGCTTAGAATAAGAACTAACGTCAGTAAAATTACTTTATAAATTTTAAAATACTATTTATATAACAAATTACAGTGAAACCTCGGTCCTTGAACTTAATTCGTTCCAGGAAACTGTCGGAGAAGCGATTGGTTCAAAAACCAAACATTTTTTTTGCATAAGAAATCATGTAAATTGCATGAATTAGTTCCAGACCCCCCAAATGGTTACCAGTTTTAACCTTTCTTATATACAGTACAAGTCTAATGTAATTTATAAACAAACATTTCTTTTCTTAAATTTATCAAACCCCCTACTAGCCTTAAAGGAATCTCTTTCAGCACTTGTTCCAGGTGTGTCTTTTAGGAAGTCAGCTTGGGGCATTTTGCTTTTTCACATATCACCGCCTTCAAAATGCTGATACTGTCTCGGGCTGCTTTTTCATTTATCCAAATCAACAGCAGTTTTTCTACCTCTGTGATCATTGTTTCTTTTTTACACCCCATAGCAATATTAACACTCTTGATGGCCTCTTTAAGGTTTACTAGTAAAGTTGTGCTAATCACCCATTTGTCAGCAACAAAAGTAAAAAGAAACCACAAAAATATTCACAGCATGATTTCCTGAGATGTTACCAAACCCTAAGTTTCTGGGTAAACTGACTGGGATTCTCTCCTTTGTTTGTGGCAGTGAGGCACTTTTTGTCATGCAAAGGAACCAAAGACATTTGTTTCCTGAACAACTTGGTGGAGAACCAAATTGTTTGAAATGGGAGACATTTGAGAATCGAGGTTTGACTGTATATATAAATATATATGTAATTTAATATATACAATTTATAGATTTACATATATATAATTTGTTGTTGTAGAGGAAACACTGCATAGTGTAGAACATGTAAGTCTTCAGATCAGAAAGTCTTGAATTTAAGTCCCATACCATTAATATTCTAACCAATTTTATTTACTTGTCTAATTCTCAATTTGCCTTATATCAAAAGTGGGGATAATTATATCTATCTCAAAGTGTTGCTGAGAAAATTAAAATCAGAAATATCCTCCTTACATTCTTGCAGAAGGCAGTTCATTGTAGAAATTAGGAGCACAGGCATGGAGTCTAACAGATTTAGGTTTAAATTTTAACTCCACCTTTCACTAGATGGATGATGCTATTTGGAAATTTGCATTATATTTCAAAGCCACAATTCCCTCATGGGGATCCTATCACCTATTGCACAGGATTACTGTAAAGAGTAAACAAGAAAACAATATGGGTAATGTTTCCCTGCACTTACTAAGTATTCAAAAAAAACACTTGCATTCACTAATTACTTCATTATTATCCCTTTTCCTATAACTGAAAGCAGATCACTAAAGGAAACAAGCACAGAGCAGATGTCTTTGGAGCTTGTAGAGTAGCTCTTAAAAGTCACAAAATATGGAACATGGTCTCAGATAGTAAACCTCAGTTTGGGTGCTGAGACGAGGTCCCACTAGGAAATTAGAAGCAGTGCAAGGGCAGGGGCCACTAAGGCCAAGGATTTAGGGCACCAACTGAGAAAGCCCAAAGACAAATGGTCCCAGGGCATCCAGGTCTTAGAAAGGAAGTCAGAGTGGTAGGAGAGGAAGGACCATACTCACATCTCATGTAAGGGAGATAATTACCTCATTTTTTGTTTGAATCTTTAAAAAGAGGGGCAAGATTAATAGAAACTCGCATTAACCTGACCTGAGACCTGTGTGTCCATGCTATTACCGCCACTAGCTAGCTGTGTGAATTCTTAAAACATTCTAAACTTCCCAGACCACATTTTTTTTTCCCCATCTGTCACTAAGTAAATGCATCTAAAATAACTTCCAGCTCTCTGATTGGTCTGGTTTGTTTGAGGTCATCAGAAACATGTTCTCTAAATAATTCTTATCTATCAAAAGCATTCTTCCACAATGTCTCCTGACAGAGTGTAGCCTCTTTTATTTTGTCAGAGTCTCTCCAAATTGTCTCTATAGTAAGATTAACTGGAGGAGGGGTGTGGTCCAGAGCTGGAAGCATTGAACCAACTGGCAAGCGTCATCATCAATCAATCAAACTCAAGTTTTCATCTTGGTGTGGAAGCGGAGGGGACTCAGAGATCAGACCTTAAGGTGAAGAAAATAGAATAACAAGAAAAGGGTCATGAATATGGGAAATCTGCTTCTGGGTATCAGAAGTGCTAAATAGTTTCTAAGTCAAGGTTGAAAACACATGAGGTCAGAATCAGGGGGCTAACAGAAGGCCCACAGTTGGCTCAGAGGCAGGAAGGGAAAGAGAGTGAGACAGATCACCCACAGACTAGGGCCCCAGAGCCTTAACACATGGCTTCATCTCCACCTGAGCAAGGGGCACAATGTCATTTACTGCCAATGCATCACCTACTCAGTCCTCAAAATAAAAGAGACCCCAAAACTTTATTTTCTTTGACCCTTAGATATTTTCTCCAAATTGTGTATGTTTTTGTCTTTTCATCATATCATTAACTCCTTAAATGAAAAGCCCCAAAAAACTATGTCTCTTGCATCCCCTCTCAGTGACATGTTTAAAGGATGCTGTAGATTTTCAAATGTTATCATTAATTGATTAAATGGTTTTCCTCCAAAATATTAGATCAAGAGTATTTCCATGAGAATTATATCATAACCCAGAGAAAGAGTGTTGTCCCAAATATTACCTGACAATGTTGTAATTGTCTGTTTGGAAATTCCGGGTCTCCAAGGGTCCCTGTATTGGTGCAGACATTAGTTACATTGGTACCAATATCACAAGCTACATTAGTTGATGCTGGAAACCGACATGCTGAACTATGAGCTTCCTGGTTTTTTGTGCTCAGAAATGGCTGTGTATAGGAAAGAATGGGGAAAAATAAGAACTATTATATTTGATGGCTAAAGTAATATAATTCTGACAAATATAAATCAGATTGTGGCATGACATATTTGATCAAATAAATTCATGTGAAACCTGCCTGAAAGAACAAATGAACACATTCATTATATTTCTTCTCAAAACAAGGAAATCTAGATAGTCATCACAAGTTACAGTTAATTATTTTATATAATTACTGATGTTAAAATCCAGGAATAAGCATTATCTTTTATCCTCATCATATTTAATGCATTTGTTAACTATCATTATGTGACAAGCAGGTATAAATCAGTTATATAAGAAAAAAAAGTCTCACAGTGAAAATTCTAAGACCTTAAGGGCTATCAAGAACAATTTTTAGGCCCTGGCCAGGTGGTTAGGTTGGTTGGAGCATTAACCATTACACCAAAAGGTTGTGGGTTCAATTCCTGATCAGGGCACATACAAGAAGCAACCAATGAATGCATGGATAAGTGGAACAACAAAATCGATGTCTCTCTCTCTCTCTCTCTCTCTCTCTCTCTCTCTCCCTTCTCTCTCTCTCAAATCAATAAATAAACATTTAAAAAAGAACAATGTTTTTGGGTCATATTGAAAATGAGAAAACCAAGATTTAAAGAATTGAAGTGAGATTCTGGATAGAGTAGGTTGCAATAGGCCCACTGCAATCAACCAATCAATAATAATAACTGAAGAGCTTGACAAAACTTAAAATTAGATTATGTAAAATCTAAAAGAGTTTGAAAGAGCTTTACAGAAGTGACCTAACAATCATAGGCCATTTTCTCTTCTGGGTGGACCAGTTGATTCTGAGTGTGAGCTGAGGTTCTGACTACCAAAAGAAGCAAGCAAAACTTTTGGTGTTCATGTGTGGCTGGCATGACAGATTGGAAAACAGTGGAGCCCCAACTCCAAGGCCTTAGCTACATTCTGGAGTAGCCTACGAGGCTGGGGGCCTGGAATGGAAAGTCCGAGTGAAGTCTCCAGCAGTATTCTAATAGTTAGGGTATAAAATCATGCTAGAACAAGGGTGGTCTGGGAAGTTTAGAATGTTTTAAGAATTCACACTGTTAGTGTCAGTTGGTTCTGCACTCAACTGACACTAACAGATTTTGGACATTTATCAGATTTTGAAGCTGCCTGGCATAGGAAGCTAAACAGTTCATTTTGAAACCTCCAAAAGTCAATCTCAAGAATATAGGTGCAAATATTATAAACAAAAGAATAGCAAATTAACCCCCCTCCACACACACACACACTATATATATATATATAATGTTTAAAAATCATGACCAGTGAGATCTAGGTCTTTTTTTAAGTGAGGTTAATAGAAAAATAACCCAGATGCAGTTTTAAGAAAAAGGAGAATAGTGTGTGTTACATACTCACGGGAGTGTCAATTGTTACATGTAAATCTTTTATAGCTAAAAAAAATATATATATATAGAATAATCTAGATTTTTTTTCCTCATAGGACAACAGAGTTTTATTTAAATGTAACCTCTGTTGATTATATTGACTAAATATCTAATTCTAAATGGTTATTGAAAAGGCTGTTGACATTGCTAGCCCAGTCTCTAAATTCTATTATAATAAGGAAACTAAATATGTGTATAGACACTGTCCATGGAACAACTATAACTAAGAATAAAAAGGAGTATAATTGTAATTAAATATAGTCAAGAAGAAATACACTTGGGCATAAAGAATTAGTCAATATTTATTTTTCTAAAAGTACAATGCCATGCCAAAGAAATAAAAAAAAATAGAATAACTATGCAATGAATAAGAGAAGATATGATACACACAGGCACTTTAATGAATTTTGGGGTTTTTTCACATTTTTTAAAACTTTATTTTTTTAGAAGAGTTTTAGGTTTAGAACAAAATTAATAAGGAGATACAGAGATTTCCCAAATACTCTCTAGAGCTCACACATGCTCAGCCTCCCCCTTATAAGCATCACTCATTAAAGTGATACTTGTATTTTTTTTCCCATGGATGAACTTACATTGACACATCATAATCACCCAAGGTTCACACTTTACCTGAGGGGTTACTCTTTTATAAACTTTTTGTTGTTGTTGTTGTTGACACCATTAACAGATGTCTTCATTTTCCTCCCCTTTGCCCACCTCCACCCAGCCCAGTCCCCTTCTCTCTGTTTTTAAATAGATAACTTTGAATAAATCACAAAGATTTATATTTCATAAAAGTGTTGTATTTCTATGTAGTATTAGTATTATAGCTGTTATTCTGCTATTCAGTTTTCTTGTGGTTGATAAACTTGAACATTTTTTGAACTTTTGTAATTAAATAAAAATTGCTGGCCATACCAACTTGACAGAATGGAATGAAGAAAGATGATGGATATCTACACTGAGAGTGGAGAACCCATGATACTGAAGCTTTGGGGGTAATATAATCCTCACTGTCCTAGTTTCCTCTCTAGTTTAATAAAAGTGGAATCTCTCAAAGTTAAATTTTTGAGCAGTTGGAGATTTAAGAATTATAGTTAATTAGCTCTTGGTAGAAGCCAATAATCTCTATTGTATATATCTAATATGCATCAACTATATTCATGGAATATAATTTTAAATTCTCTGCTCATCCCTGAAAAGAGATTAATTTACCATTTCGTGTTTCCTGAGAGGGAAAAGCAAACTCCTAAATTATCCCTTTTTATGTGGCCTTCAAATGCTACTTTAATCTATTAGTGAAAATGGTCCACAATGTATGCCCAAATATCCAGACGTAAAGTGAAATATTCAGTCAGTGATCAAAATCTGTGCCCTCTTTGAAACTCTGCACTGTCTAGGAAAATCTTCAGGATGACTGATTTCTTACTGAAGAGAAATCTTCAACTGAGCCCCTGACACTGTGGAGACAGTGAAAGAGATGCAAGGCCAGAGGGACCGTGAAGAAATCTTCAGGGGAAGAGGATGCTGATCTAGAATCAAGAGAACAATTTCTCTGCCCTGTAATTCCTTGTCAGTGCACGGGGACAAAAATACTTTTCATCTCAAAATCTAACTGTCCATTCACACTTACACTGTTTTCATTCAACACAATTCCTTTTCTATTTCTAATGATCGAGGCTCTAGTCCAGTGATGGCGAACCTATGACACGCGTGTCAGAGGTGACACACGAACTCATTTTTTTGGTTGATTTTTCTTTGTTAAATGGCATTTAAATATATAAAATAAATATAAGTCTTTGTTTTACTATGGTTGCAAATATCAAAAAATTTCTATATGTGACACGGCACCAGAGTTAAGTTAGGGTTTTTCAAAATGCTGACACGCCGAGCTCAAAAGGTTCGCCATCACTGCTCTAGTCAGACATGCACAGTTACATAAAAGGCAATCCCAACATACACAGTACTAATTTTTTTTCTTTTAAAAACATAAGCAATAGTCAAATAATATTGTATATAACTGAACTCTAAAAGTTAACCTTAATACAATGTTTTACTAAGAAAAGAAATTCATAAGTAGTTAAGTAGAGACCGATCTAAAGGAATTGCTAGATAATTTGATTCCTAGACCCAACTTTCATTTAAAAGATTATCTTATGACTTTGAAAGAAAATAGTAATCTTTGCGTTCTAACAAATCTACACATTACACTAAAAAACTAAGTGGTTAACATAAAAATCTATATATCACATTTTAAAAACACAATTTGTTAATGCAATCAAGTATAGAGTGTTGGCTTATGTTTGAATTATGATAGCTGCAGAGAATTATTTGAACAGGTTATGAAATTTTACCCAAGATTGCTAATATCTTCTATTAGTGAGTATTAAAATAAATGCCTCAATTATGCATACATTGCTATGCAGAAAAAATTAAAAATTTCTAATTAATAAGTAGTAAGTAATAGCTAAAAATTGGCTTCCATATAAAACCTTTATTAAGAATTCCTTTTGAGGAAGAACCATGTCATAACAAAAAATATATATATTAAAGTTCTATAAACATTGAACACAAGACTCTGAGCTACCAGAACATACCCGAGTGGTGCCACCAATACTCTCCGGCTGGTTTCCAGAGTGTTCAATATTCACTATGTATTTCCCATGTTTTCTGTCCATTTTTCAGCGGCCGATATCACAAACTCAACTCCAGAAACATTTTTCAGCCTATTCATTGCCCTTTATAGCTGAAACCTTGAGAAATAATTGTGTTGATTAATATTAAATCTACTATGAGACATCAATGTGTGGATTAGACAAAATAATTAATAATTATTCTTTATATGGGATCCACCTTAAGGAAGAAGTGGGGTGTAAAGCAGTTACATAAGAAAACAAGCACATCGATCCCACCTCTGTGCATACACTCTAAGGACTACTCCACAGGCAGCCTGCCTGGGGGAGAAACTGCAAGCATCCAACTCTTCCCTCTCCCTCCTATCACATCATCTCACAGAACCCTTCCTTCCAACTCCAGCAATCGCCCAAGACAGAATTCTGAAATAAATGAATGTTGCTATTGCTTCTTTACTAACCAGACATGAACATCTTTCCCCTCTTATTGGCAGTGACTTTAAGACACTCATGACTCACTCAGTCGTGACTTCTCAGGTTCCTCCCCAGCTCTAGAACTTGTTCAATTTATTCTCTCTCTCTCTCTCTCTCTGCTTCTGGAAAAAATTAATCTAACCTGGCTTATACTTCCTCAAGCCCCAAAATACAGATAGTTAATCTGGTGAACAAGTCTCTGAATGCATTCACTGGGGTCCATTTCTGTTCTCTTCTTGTGGAATCTATTTGGCATGGTTCCCCAGAAGATTACTTAAGATCCTGCTTACAATTTAGTAACAGAACACGTGGGTAGATAAAGCTCTTTTAACTTCTGTGAATTTTACTCAAAAGCAAATTACTTTTTTTTTTTTGGTAGAAATGGCTTTAGCATGATCTAAAAGACAGTTGGCAAGATTTAAGAAAATACTTTTATCTCAAATGAAAAGTTATCAATCAGCTCCCAGCATATATATCCAGGGAATCGCAAAGAAAACTGGTGCAGAAAGTTTTTGATGAAAAATGGTGCTTACATAACCTAAAAGTCCAACATGATCTTTTCAGTAATAATTACCGCATAGATAATTATTGGCAAACGAAGCAACAAAGACAAGGTACTTACGCTTTTTTGTTGAAAATGTCTCAGGTAGCACTTTTTATCTACCCAGATAACTATCAGGTTTCAATGATAAGAATTAGCTGATAACAGAGTTGCAAGAAGTCTGAGAGATCTTGTAGTTCAGCCTTGTTGATTTCAAGTTGAGGAATTCTGTGTCCAGAGCGGGGAAGTGGTCAAATCACTTGTATAGTGGAACCCAGTTTCCTTTTCAGTCTAATATTCTCTCCATAACTAGTGACTCTGTAGAAAGATGGACAGCCTAGTAGGAAGTCAAACAAATGTCCTTTTGAAAACAAAGTGAAACAAAAATTCCAGGCATGAGTTGGAAAGGATCTGACATGGGGTGCCCATTATACCCTGGAGCTTTCTGAGGCTCACTGAACCAGACTTTCAGGGGCAGGATCTGAGAGTCTGACTTTTTGGCCAAATGTCAAATAATCCTTATTCAAACAAAGTTCGAGAAATATGTTAATAAACAATGATTCCAACAATGGACATGGTATATCTTCTTATTTTTAGGAAGAAAATAGGGTGTGTGAAGGAACCTCAATTTTCTTAATTTTTTTTAAAGAGATAAGTTTTTAATTGCTTATTCGTTCAACCAGCACTATTGAATCTCTACTATACTCAGGCACTGTGCAAGGTGCTAAGTATTCAATGGTGAATAAAAGTCAAGATTCCTGCCCTCCTGTGGTATAGTAAAAACATACAGTATATTGATTATGTATTAAATATTTTTATCACTTCTGAAGTTCTTTTATAAATTCATTCTTTAGCTAGAGGTTTCATTGGCATTTCATTACTAACCAGAAGCAACGTAAAATGGCCCTAAGGTCTACAGAACATAAAAGGCTCAAAAAATCTAGAGAAGGAATTTCTTCTAAGGAGTAAGAGACAGTGCTGTACCCACTCCATGCTGAAACCAAGCCAATGAAACTGTGGCTTCTGGGACTGTGTAAGTAGAGTGATCAGGTAATTTATCACTCCAAACCAAAATGCTTTTGTGAGCAAAAAAAAAGCAGTATTAATAATTTAATTTCACAGAGACAACACTATCCCATGCAAACAAGAACATGTGGTCACATAGCTATAAGGAACTCATGTGAGTTAGAAGATTCACTCGTACTAACCATGACCCATCTGGATAAGCCAATGAATTTAAAAATCAATTTAATATCCACAGTGAACACATATTTCAACTGAACAGAATACATTTTTTACTTGAGTTTTTTTTAAATCAGTTATGACATTGTGGTACTAAGACATTTAAATTTTGCACTGGAGTTTCATAACCATTGAGCAGGTGAAAAATGCATATCATTAAGTCACTGACAAACTAAAATCCCATCCTCACTATCATTAGTTTGATTAACTATTGCAAGAATCAAAGAATGAACAAGTATGTTACTATGCACTTACATTTTTAGTATAAAATTCAAACTTTCTCTGTTTTTCAAAAAAACGCTGTTTGTGCTTTTACTCTATCACAAACCAACAACTAGAGTAGACCGCACCTGAATAATTACAATGTGCCAAGGAATACAGGTAACTCTCATTGCTGTGCTGAATACCTCCTAGAAAAGCGCTTTGCTATCTGCAGAATTTGAAGCCAAAAGAATTTGGAACTCTACTAATTGAGAGTGGTTGACAGTCTTTTAACAGCTGGTAATTTTTTTTAGCCAAAAGAATGCAAAACCTGTTACCATGTCACCTGTTATAAAATGAACCACACTGTAGTCTAAAGATTACAACAAAATCACTTTATTGATCAAGTTACCCACTTCAAATACTTCAGTGACTGAAATTTCACCAAGATCTGATACTCATCAAAATATCATATTTTTGCTTTGGTCTTTCAGTGTGATGACAACCAATATGACAAGTCCAGCTCTCTCATCTTTAAAATTAATTTAGGCCAGCACATTATTTTGGTTCATCATGTTGTGTTGAGTGATTAAAATGATAACCAAGCATATATCAGATTTCAAAGCCTTCAGGACAGTATTTAGATTTGTATTTCCAAGTCATTAAACCTGATAAGATAATCTTTTGTAATGCAATGAGGTTGTAAAAGAAGTTTTGAAGTGTCAAGTCAAACCAATGCAAAGTTATGCAAAAAAAAAAAATGATCAGAGGGAGAAACTGAAAAATCTATCTGTATATTTGTCCAAGAATCCACCTCTCTTGCCCTTCCCAACAAAAAAAAAACAACTTAACTAAATTAAGGGGTCATTTTCCCTTCACATCAGGAGAAGGCTGCAGGAGGGCAGTCAGAGTTGGGTGAGAGGTAAGAAAACAAAAGTTTCATCCCTCCCTGAAGAATGTCACTGGGGCACACTAATGGGTGCTACTCTACATCTGGGTGGCTTCTGACTCAGCCACATCTTGTCGTTAATATTATTGACATTTCTTGTGAAGGACTGCCAATTCCAGTACATACCACATTGATCATATCTAATCCTCCTAATACCTTCCTGAATTAAGTATTATTAGCCTATTTTCCTGATGAAATACCAAGGCATTTAGTGACACTTTATAAGTCCCAAGATAAGTTTGTGTCTCCCCATTCATTCACCCAAGAAGTGGTTATTAAATACTTACTATATTCACTATGTCACATTAGATGCTGAGAAAAATATGGAGAATGGAGTAAGGAAAAGGTATTTAGAAATTTAACCTTTTATGGATGGAACAAAATCAAAAACCACCTAGCAACGGGTGACATTCCTCAGGATACATCAAGGCAGCATGGTTGTTTGCAGACATTACTAAGGAGAGGATGCTGGAATTCAGACCCAAATTACATCACAGGCTTAGAAAATCCCTGGGCAGAAGTCAAGACCTACTAGTTTGCAGACTGAATCTCTATCTGGAGTTCAGACAAATGATCTATATGAGGCTTCCCAACAGGTGCAATTCAATTTGTGAGGCCTATTTTAACCCATCTTTGGCAGGCAAAATGATGACTTGCCAAAAATATCCACATTCCCCTAAGGGGAATTAAGGTCCCAGATGAAACTGAGATGGCTAATCAGCTGACCTTAAAATAGATTATCCAAGATGGAGACAGAAGTCAGTCAGAGAAAGAGTTGTAACTATGGGGAAAAAAATGGTTATAGAGAGGCAATTTTACTGGCTTTGTAAAAGGAAGAGGACCCCAAGCCAAGACATGTGGAAATACTCTACTAGAAGATGGATAAAGGGAGGCGGGGGGGAGGGTTCCCCAGAAGGAATATAGCCCGCCAATATCTTGATTTTATCCCAGGTTGAACTTCTGACTTAAGAACTGTAAGATAATTTAGGGTGTTTAAGCCATGAAGTCTTTGGTATTTCTTATAGCAGGCATAGAAATACACCATTCGTCAGGTCTCCCTTTAAATCAGTGGTTCTCAACCTTCCTAATGCCGTGACCCTTCTGAAAGGGCGAGGACTACACCCTACATCTTACCCTGTGTCCTCCATTTTGGGGTAGCCATGTGCTCGGCAAGGAGCTTCTTCCCAGAAGTCTAAGCCTCTGCTAGCCACACCCAGGAACAAGACACCGACTTGCGCCTGGCCAATTGGCAGGGCCCACAGTCCCCTCTCCTACCCTGACTCCACCCCCCTATAAAACTCCTCTTCACGCCGGGCTAGGTCTCTCTCTGCTTCCTGCCGTTGCGTCGGCAGGGTCGGGGAGCCGAGCTAGCTCGAATAAAAGACTCCCTGCTTTTGCATCGGACTCGGCTGGCTCCCTGGTATGGTCTAATGGAGATCTTGAAATCTGGGCATAACACCTTCAATACAGTTCCTCATGTTGTGGTGACCCCCAACCATAAAATTATTTTTGTTGCTACTTCATAACTGTAATTTTGCTACTGTTATGAATCGTAATGTAAATATCTGATATGCAGGTGTATTTTCATTGTTACAAATTGAACATAATTAAAGCATAGTGATTAATCACAAAAACAATATGTAATTATATATGTGTTTTCCGATGGTCTTAGGCGACCCCTGTGAAAGGGTTGTTTGACCCCTAAAGGGGTCGCGACCCACAGGTTGAGAACCGCTGCTTTAAATCTCACTCTCTGATTGGAATTGGTTCTTCTACTTTTATAATCTTCCTAGCATTGTGTTCTTTCTTGGTGCTCATCATAGTTGGCAATTATATATTCATTTTTGTGATTATTTAATATATATTATTTCTTTGGGACTCAAATTTCCACAAGGATGTAGGCTGTGCAGTTTTTATCATCAATGCATCCCCAGCAACTGGCACAGTCCTTTGCACATGGTGGACCCTCACTAAGTATTTACAAGATCAACATAAAGAAGGATTCCGCGTGCCTGCAATGCATTTACAGGTAAAAGAAAAAAAAATTTGAAGTTCAGAGAGGTTCAATAACTTACCTAAGGAACACAGCAACTAAGTTGCAGTTTTGGAACTTGAATACCAAAGATTTGACCCTGAGACTCAGATCTGTGGCTTGGTCATTCATGATCCATTTCTTAGCAGAACCTCTGGGGGTAACCTCTTATTGGCAGTTATTCTCTCTCAATGAATACCTCCTTCCTCAACAGCTCATGCCTTTAAGGAAACTAGGAGTTCTACAGCTCATACTCACCACCTCCCAAAACTGACTGAGACCCAGCTGACTACAGCATCCAAACCTGCACCAAACTGATCAAGGCAAAATCCCGATGCTTCTTCATAAAATAAAATAAAAATTACAATGCAGGACAAGAAAGAAAACTAGCATTCTTCAATTTTACCTTTAAGTGAAGGGATAAATGTCAGGGGTTATCCATAATTTATATTTTTAAATTAAGAGTCCTGGGTAAAAGTCAATGAACTAAACAATAATTAGGCAGTGACACTGTCCTGCCAGTTTTGCCATGACCTTTCATGACTGCGCCAATGCACACTCGTTCATTCATTCATTTATGTATTCATGCATTTGACAGATACTGTCTGACCTTCACTCTATGCCAGGCCTGTGTTAAGCACTTCATAAGCATTTTATCATTTCATCTTCACAACTCCATTCATAATTAGGCAATGCTAGTGACTTGATTTCACTCACAAGGAAATTGAGATTCAGAAGTGTAAGTAACTTGCTCAAGGTCAAACAGTGAGGAACTGGGCCCCAGTTTTCT